GCTGCATGCCTGAAGCATGAGGATATTTGCTCTGGGTGCGTGTGCAAATGAGTGTGAGTGTGTTTTAGAAATAGTTCAGTGTCGTCTCTGCGACAAGGCTGATGTTGGGAAAATAGAAATCTGGGCAACATCACTCACAGCAATAAAAATCTCTCACTATTTCAGGGATGAGTGTGTTGCAGTGTTGTAGTTTAACCCCTTGAAATCTCAGATTATTATGTTGAAGTATATTATTCAGTAACAACAGTAGTGTAGGAGTGTAAGTCTGGACCTACTGACACGTCAAACTTCCAATTCAGACGTATTTTGGAAAATCTCACAGTAACTTATAATCTTATGATAGTCTTCCAGTAACTTACATTCTTCCAGTAACTTACATTCTTCCAATAACTTACATTCTTACCGTAACTTAGTCTTATAGTAACTTACAGTAGCAGAGTAACTTATAGTCTCACAGTAACTTACATTCTCACAGTAACTAACAGTCTTATAGTAACTAACATTCTTATAGTAACTAACATTCTCACAGTAATTTACATTCTCACAGTAACTTACAATCTCAGAGTAACTTACATTCTCACAGTAACTCACAGTCTCACAGTAACTTACATTCTTATAGTAACTAACAGTCTTATAGTAACTTACATTCTCACAGTAACTTACATTCTTATAGTAACTAACATTCTCACAGTAACTTACAATCTCACAGTAACTTACATTCTCAGAGTAACTTACATTCTTATAGTAACTAACATTCTTATAGTAACTAACATTCTCACAGTAACTTACATTCTTATAGTAACTTACAGTTTCACAGTAACTCACAGTCTCACAGTAACTTCCATTCTCAGAGTAACTTGCATTCTTATAGTAACTAACATTCTCACAGTAACTTACAATCTCACAGTAACTTACATTCTTATAGTAACTAACTTTCGCAGAGTAACTTACATTCTCACAGTAACTTACATTCTCACAGTAACTCACAGTCTCATAGTAACTTACATTTTTATAGTAACTAACAGTCTTATAGTAACTTACAGTCTTATAGTAACTCAACTCACATTAGGTAAAGCCTGAAATATATAAGTATATATTAAAATATATGTATATTGCCTTCCCGCATTACTGAACGGTTATTATAATGTGTTAGGTAATCTGACATTAGAAGAAGAATTCTTTATTTGTCACATATACATTACAACACAGTGAAATTCTTTTTCTTTGCATAACCCAGCTTGTTAGAATGTTGGGGTCAGAGAGTACGGTCTGCTATGAGACCGCGTCCCTGGAGCAGAGAGGGTTAAAGGCCTTGCTCAAGGGCGCAACAATGGCAGCTTAGCAGTGCTGGGGATTCAACCTCCGACCATCTGATCAGTAATCCAGAGCCTTAATGATTGAGCCACCACTATCCATTATTAAGTCATATAATTGTATTTGGCATATACATGTAACTACAATCTCAGAGTAACTTAAAGTCTTACAGTAAAATACAGTATCACAGTAACATATGGACTTACAATATTTGAGAAAATAAAGACGTACATTGCATTACCACATTACTGAACAGTTATTATATTGTGTAATCGGACATTTTTGTGTCACATGGAAAAGCCCATATAAACCTTTTAGATAGTTAGCTAGCAAATATGGATGGAATTTAAATATCGCTAACATACCGATTAATCTGTGGTGGAAAACATGGGCATGGTGGCTTTATAAAAGTTGCACGACTGGGACAAATGGCATCATGTCGCACTACCTTAAATCAAATCTGCCCGTAACACAGTGAGAAACATTAATTGTTGCTTCTTGTGTGTATGTGTTTTGTTTTTAACATCTGACCCATATAAAAGAAAAGCAAGGACATGAGGTGCCATAAATACTATGCAACCTGGCAATTAGTTTTTTTTTCCTGCAGCATTAACAATGGCTGCTTAGACAATAACCACACAGGCGTGTCACTATTAAAAATAAGGGTGATGAAATGTGTGTGTGTCACCTGGCCAAGGTAGGTCCAGGGTTTCCCCAGATGTGCTATAGGGCTTGGCCAGTGTCCAGAAGAGGAGGGCCATCCAACCCCCTCGGGGCACTTAGCAACAGACACACAGAGACACGACACCTTCCTGTCAACAAACAGCATGCAGATGCCTTTCTCATCACACACAGACACACACACACACACACACACACACACACACACACACACACACACACACACACACACACACACACACACACACAAATAAAAAAAATAAAAAAACACACATACACAGTCTCTATCAGTCATTAGCTTGTAGGGAAGTTAAAAGCAGACATTAGGTCAGTGGGGAGGCTATGAGCAAGCAAACAGCATGTGTGTGTGTGTGTGTGTGTGTGTGTGTGTGTGTAAAGGTAAAGTGTATCACAGACTACTTATTAACTCAGCATAGAGTGTCACTATTATCTCCCATCTCCTGCTGTACTTATTTATAACACACACACACACACACACACACACACACACACACCTAGCCAAAACCTCATTTCCATTTTAACTGCACATATAAATGATCTTTACAAAAATATATCAAACTTAAATACATTAGTGTGTGTGTGTATTAGGAAATGAAATAATAAAACACAACGAGGTGTGTCGTTATAGGAAAACAATCAATGTGGTGGTGTGATGTGGCTTACCATGAAACAGAGTAACTGTTACCATGCCAAAGTCGATACTTTCCCTATAACAGCATGTCCGGTGTTGTAACAGAACAGAAGAGAAGGTTTTTTGCCTAGTTGCGCACACTGTCACTGTAAACACACTCCTCATTGCATTTCAGCTTTTCTTCACTCATTATTCCTTGTACAATTTAACCATCCATCCATCCATCCATCTTCTACCGCTTACTCCTTTTCAGGGTCGCGGGGGAACCTGGAACCTATCCCAGGGAGCATCGGGCACAAAGCGGGGTACACCCTGGACAGGGTGCCAGTCCATTGCAGGGCATAATCACATACCCTGTATATACCCTGCTGTCCCCTGTCATATAAAGTATACCAATCCAGGAGGGTTTCTTTCTTTTCTTCTCCTTTTTCTTACACGTTTAACCTAGTTTATTTATTTTCTTATATTACTAGAACGTTTATTTACACAGCACATTTTAAACACATCTGTTGGTCAATGTGCTGCACAGTAAAATTAATTCAATATGAATACACGTAGAGCTTAAAATTTCTTCCTCAGAATCATTTAACTATTTAGAATAAATAGTATTTAGCATACAGTATTGTTGAATAGAAAGTAAACTAATAATTTACTTGGTATCTAATTGTAGTTTGCGTATAGTATAGTATATATTTTTTACATTATATAAATAAATAATAAGGAACCGCATGTATTCTTGACTGTACATTTCTTTAAATATGGATTAGTCGGAAATGCCAATGAGTATTTTACCCGTTTTTTTTTGTTTTTTTTTATGTTTGAAAGGCATGATTATAATTAAGCAGTGCAATTTCCTTTAGTTTAAACCCTTATTTTGGTTACTACAAATTGGTTAGTAATGTTGACATAGGTTACTGAACAACTTACACACAGGATGTTAATTAATGCGTTTAATTTAGTGCAATTTGATTAGAGAAGTTAATGATTACGAGGACGGTCACACCACGTTTAACACAAATCCCTGCGCTACAGTATTTGTTGCACAGCAACTATTTTCTACACGTTAGCTGGCAAATGAATGAGATCACTCGAAGAGACTGCGCTGATTGTATCTTTAAAACATACAAATTGGACTTCATAGTCATTGAAGTTTATACAAGTTTATTAATATATAAACTCAAACAACCGTACGCTTGTACTTTCAAATTATTCTACCATTTTGTCTACTTGAAGTAATGTGCGACGGATGCCAAATAACCTATTTGTTCATGAATAAATGTGACCAAACTCGAAAGACAAGACGGATTGTGTTTTATTAATGTTGCGAACACCAACATAGAATTATCTCTTTTGTCTGGAATGTACGAACTTCAGTTTAGTTATAGGTTTGATAAGAAATGATCCATGCGTTTTTTAATCCCAGCAAGAACTGCAAGTCCCTGTGAATTCCACAACGTCTCGGATGTCACAATACGCATGGGAAAGGCCTGTTGGCATGCAGCGTGCAGACACGTCAGGTTCCAACACTTCCACGGAGTAAAACCACACCACTGTGTCTGTGTCCGACTACAGATTAGATTTCCTCTCACTGTCAGGACAAAGCGTCCAGGATCTGGTCTCACTCTCTTTGTTTTGAACAAAAAACATGACTTGAAAATGTGTAACCTTGTATTCTGATCATTTCGGAGTTCGGTCTGTTATGAACAGATATGACAATGCGTTGTGTAACTTGACATTATGTTATTAACTCATATACCCAGTATAAATACAGAATGCTTGGCGTTACAGTGTAATTTGTAAGGATTAAAACACCCCAGGATGTGCTGTTAGAAAATAATCAATGACGGGATAGTTACTCGTACCACCCCAGAGTAACAGCATGTCTTTTATTCGTCTCACAACACGGAAATTTTGCCTACCATAAAGATTTTTTTATTCGAGAAAGAACAACGTAGTACGTGTAACGTCAGAAATAATGAAATGAAACATTACTACATGAAATACAACTATACTGTAAACAGTATTATACTAAACAACAACAACAACAAAAAAGCATCAGTAGTCTCAGCTACAATTTGAACGCAATTCATCCAATCCATCTTCTGTACCACTTTATCCTTTTCAGGGTCACGGGGAACCTGGAGCCTATCCCAGGGAGCATTGGGCACAAGACGGGGTACACCCTGGACAGGGTGGGAATCTATCACATGGCACAATCACTTACACACTCACACACCCATTCATACACTACAGACACTTTAGACACACCAATCAGCCTACCATGCATGTCTTTGGACTGGGGGAGGAAACCGGAGTACCCGGAGGAAACGGGGAGAACATGCAAACTCCGCACACCCCCGACAGGGAATCGAACACCCCTGACCCTGGGGGTGTGAGGCGAACGTCCTAACCACTAAGCCACCGTGCGCCCCTCAATTTAATTGAATATATTTCTTAATTGAATTTATTTTCTTAATTTCTTTCTCTGATTCCTGGTTGCAATACTTAACATCAATAATTTGTCAATCGTCATCTTTAAACACAAATCCCCATCACTCCATTAAGGAAAAGCATTAACAGTGGCTCATCAGCAAGCCTGGGTTTTCCATCAGCAACGCTGAACATTAACCATGGTGTGAATAAATAACATTTAAGTTAATAGCAGGTAAGATGGACATGGTCACTAGATCAAACACACACACACACACACAAGCCAAGACAGTATATTCATTCGTCAAAGTTTAAACCATTTTTGTGTTGTTTTTGGGGTTTTTTGTGTGTGTGTGTGTGTGTGTGTGTGTGTGTGTGTGTGTGTGTGTGAGAGAGAAGACTGTCTGTATGCTCTGCTAATGAGTCATTGTGCAAGTGTGTGTGTGTGTGTGTGTGTGTGTGTGTGTGTAAGAGAGAGAGATTTGGTGGTGCATGTAATAAGCTCTAAGCACCCGCTTTCGTTCTGTTTATATCTGTGGTGACGGGATGTAACATAGTCGCCAGAGAAAGCAGGAAGGATGTGAAGCTGCTTAGCACCAAGCTACATCCTTACATCAAGTGGACTTCATCTGACAAGCATGTAGTGTAAAGTCACATGATTCAAGTAAAAAAAAAAAAAAATATATATATATATATATATATATATATATATATATATATATAAAATGAATCCAGTCGTGAAGGTAAAAAGGAGAAAATCAAGATATAAAGAGAGATTACGCAGCGATGTTAGTAAGCTAGCTATCTAGTTACCCATTTCTAGCTAAAAAGCTGGAAGGTTAGCTAGCTATGTTATATCAGCCTCACTTTCGTTAAACTACGTTATACCAGCCTCGCTTTCAATAAGCTATATTATACCAGCCTCGCTCTTTCATTATGCTATGTTATACCAGCCTCGCTTTCAATAAGTTATGTTATACCAGCCTCTCTTTCATTATGCTATGTTATACCAGCCTCACTTTTGTTATGCTATGTTATACCAGCCTCACTTTTGTTATGCTATGTTATACCAGCCTCACTTTTGTTATGCTATGTTATACCAGCCTCACTTTTGTTATGCTATGTTATACCAGCCTCACTTTCGTTAATCTACGTTATTCCAGCCTCGCTTTCAATAAGCTATATTATACCAGCCTCGCTTTCATTATGCTATGTTATACCAGCCTCGCTTTCATTATGCTATGTTATACCAGCCTCACTTTTGTTATGCTATGTTATACCAGCCTCACTTTTGTTATGCTATGTTATACCAGCCTCACTTTTGTTATGCTATGTTATACCAGCCTCACTTTCGTTAATCTACGTTATTCCAGCCTCGCTTTCAATAAGCTATATTATACCAGCCTCGCTTTCATTATGCTATGTTATACCAGCCTCGCTTTCATTATGCTATGTTATACCAGCCTCACTTTTGTTATGCTATGTTATACCAGCCTCGCTTTCAATAAGCTATGTTATACCAGCCTCGCCTTTCATTATACTACGTTATACCAGCCTCACTTTCGTTAATCTACGTTATTCCAGCCTCGCTTTCAATAAGACTATGTTATACCAGCCTCGCCTTTCATTATACTACGTTATACCAGCCTCACTTTAATTAAACTATGTTATACCAGCCTCACTTTAATTAAACTATGTTATACCAGGCTCTCATTCATGAAGCTATGTTATATCAGCCTCGCTTTCTTTCTCTCAAAGTTAATAATTTTTTTTTTTTTTTTTTTAAACACAGCATGTCATGTTAACGAAAAAGCCCTCCGACATATTTCGGAAAATTTACAGACTGTTTTAAAAAACGCTCGCACTGGAGACTCCATAAAAAAACAATTTCTCATGCTGATCTTTGTTAAATATCAACACACTCCTCCATGTAACCCCCTGCGTATACTGTTATTTTATAACATATTCAAATAGCAACATATTAAAATGAGCGCATTAATAAACATACACCTGTGATTTGTATTACAGCTACAGGCACTACTGTCCGAGCTGATCTTATAGAAAATGAATCAACGCCTTCCGACCAATCAGACGAACTCAGCAGCACTGTGTTATACGTATGTAAATGACACATGGTCAAAGTTTTAATTCAGCTTTGCTCATACAAACACTCACACACACACACACACACACACACACTCACAGTTGCCACTCTGTCTCACACTCCGCCTCTCATTACACTGCCCCCCCCTCTCTGGTTCTTTCTCTCTGTTTTTTCCCCCCTCCCTCATCCCCCCATCCTCTATCAATAGCACTTTTCCTCTCTTCTCTCTGTTTTTTAAAGGCATCCATGGAATTAGCATGTGAATTGCTTGTATATCTTCTTTTATATGATGCACTGACAACACTGGCTTTTCACAGAAAAGGAGGAGAGGAGGGGGAAGAAAAAAAGACGCCCTGTTTCTCAGAAAGACACAGAGAAAACATTATTGCTCTCTAAAGCGCTTGAAATTTACTCGGCTTTGAATATGCGAGTTTATATCTAAGGACATGTTTGAAACCCAATCAGAAACTTGCTTGTGTGTGTGTGTTGTGTGTGCGCATGTGGTAAAAGTAGGGCCTGGCGAGCATCATGACTCATGCAGTGTGCACTTATTAGCACTGTTATTAAAGATAAAAGAGTGTGTAGGATGGTGTGTTTGTGCATTGTGTTAACAGCAGAATAATAAATAATGAACACCGGTAATGTAGTATTTCAGTGTTGGATTAATCGAGACAGAAATTTGGAGATACAGGACTTGTGGCTAGTAATTTTCAGCCACTCAGCAGTTTACTAGCCAAACCGTTCACTTCTGCAAACATATACTCTATCTGTAATCAGTCCCTCCGGGATTTTGCGATTTTGTGATCGCAGAAATGAACCCGAAATCAAGAAAACTCCGAAATATTCGTAGGAGCTTCAAATTTTCTACAGGTTTGGGCCGAGACACATCGTGTGACGTCATCACCATAAAAGGTCTCGTTTACCAACAAACATCGCAGAGAAACGCTTCCGTGAAACGTGAAAAAGTTTTTTTCCGGAAAAAACGAACAAACCACAAGAACAATTGTAACTGTTAGTCATCTTCAGTGAGCGCCAGAGTCTATCCTAGGATCACATGGCACAATGAGGAAACTGGAAAACCCAGAAGAAACCCAGAGACACACGGCGGAATCTCCGCATGCGCACTCAGCGCTGTCTGAATCGCTGTTATAGAAAATGAACCAACACCTTCTGACCAATCAGAATCAAGCATTATTGTTACCGTTTGCAATGCTTTTTCAGGAAAATAAACGGTCCTTTTCCTTGTCTCTCGGGTGATACCATTTGTATTATTAAGCTAGAAAAGTGCGAGTACCGTTAAAGCTCTAGCTATTACAGTCCAAGGATGTATTTTAAACATTTGAATAAAAGGTACACTTTATACATGTTTCCAGGTTAAATATGCCATTCAGAGACACGTATGTTGTTTACTTATGGAATGTGAAAAAGATAAGAGTTAAAGACAAAAGATAAGAGTACCACGGCAGATTTATCTGTGTTTCCACTCTAGAAAAATACACAATGTGGAAATTGAAATAATGATAATGAGTCTTTATTGGTCACATATACAGTAGAGCACAGTCAAATTGTTTTCGTCGCATACCCCAACCTCCCAGGAAGCTGTGGTCAGAGTGCAGGGTCAGCCATGATACAGCACCCCTGGAGCAGAGAGGGTTAAGGTCCTTGCTAAAGGGCCCAACAGTGGCAGCTAGGCAGTGCTAGGGCTTGAACCCCTGACCTTCCGATCAGTAACCCAGAGCCCTAACCCTAAGCCACCACTGCCCCTAGACATGCACCATTTATTATTTAATCTTTAAAATATAAAATAGACACAATGTTTCATGTTTATGATTTAATTTAAATGGTGTACCCCGCCTTATGCCCCATGCTCCCTGGGATAGGCTCCAGGTTTCCCGTGACCCTGAAAAGGAGTAAGCGGTAGAAGATGGATGGATGGATGGATGGACATTCTACGCTTGTATGTTTCACCACATTTGAATGTATTTATTAGTGATTCTGTCTTCATTCTATATTAATTTAACATCACAAGGCTGTATAAGCTCTCCGAACAGTTCAATTGCCAAACTTGTATTTGATGAGAGTTTGTAACTCAGAATTCCCAAACTCCGACCGGGAAAAACTAACAAACAAAGAAAAACATCCCGCTCGACTCGGAATTTTTACTTGGTATGGTCTCGAGTTCCTCCGAGTTCAGCAAGTGACATCAAATCAAAATACCTGCTCGCGGAATCAGCAGTAAACAAAGCAGCACTTCCATCCATCCATCCATCCTTCCATCCATCCATTTTCTGTACCGCTTACTCGTCACACAGGGTTGCAGTGGAGCCTGGAGCCTATCCCATGGAACTCAGGGCATGAGGCAGTGGACATCCTGGATGGAAAGTCAGCCCATCATAGGTCACAATCCCACACTCAGTCGCAATTTAGAAATGCCTACAATGCATGCTTGTGGACAGGAGGAGGAAACCGGAGTACCCTGAGGAAGCACGAGAAGAACACGCGTACAGACATATCCGCTTGTTTAATCTATAACCCCGCCTGTACAGTTCACTGTCTTGTGGAGGTAAATATACATCACTCATCACAGTCAGAAAGCCAGCTGGTTGCTAACGAAAGATGAACGCGGAGCCGTCCATGTTTTACGCACGTCGTAGCTTGAATGCATGGAGATTTCCCTTTCCGAGGTAAATTAAGTGCAGCGTTACCTGTGTCCTGTGGGCTTGACTTCATTTCACACACTTACAAACTCACACACAAGCCAAAATGACATATTCACCATCCTCAATTTCCTGGCACGCAGGGCACACTCTCTGGCTCGTAGCTTTGATGGATTTATGACTAAAGGAGTGTGTTTTAAGTGCAGAAAACGGTTCAAATCCCAGACACACACTCTC